GATGTGTGAATATTGGTGGGGATATTTCCTGTCCGGCCAAAGTTGGTGGGAACATGTCCACACCAGTCCTTCACAAAGTTACGCCCTTGGGTCCATTTCTGTTGTGATGCAAATAAAACAAAGTAAGATTCACACGTTTGAAATATTTTGATCTCAGCCAGCGCCTACAGTGAAGCGGCTCTCTGCGTAATGTAAACACAACCAGCAAGGCCTAATGCATTTAAGCAAGTATGTAACAATTCTTCATTGTCTTCAGTGCAGTCTGCTTTTCACCAGGTCCTCACTAGTCTCTCATTCATTCCAAACTATGAACTAACACAGACTTAAAATTACATTATATGAAGGGAAGAAGGAATCACACTTTTGACTATGTAGCATAAAGAACCTGACCCTGACCTCTGAATCATCTCTCAGACCCACACTAAACTGCTCAGTGGACTTGAACACAAAAGCTGCACTTTTGTGAGACGTGCTCAAGTCACGTGCTCAAAGACAAGTCTGAGCACTGCTTAGACTTGTCTTTGTTTCCTCATTTCCTCTTACTCTTGTCTTCATTTCATCTGATTAAAGGAATCAAGTTTTCCCAGTAAAGTTGTTTGTTGTTAAAGCCGAGCATAAAAGAGAAACAAGTAAGATAAAAAAAATTCACTGCAAGATTTACAGTATTTTACAGAGTAAATGGAATAGTTGCTATCACTTGCAGGCCTCATCAACAGAAGAACTCTGCCAACCTTACTTGATCCTTGGTGGATTCAGGGGTCCCAGCCCTCTGGTGCACTGACATGTCAAGTTCTACAGGTTGTAATTTACATGGATTTTCTCACTTTGCAGGTATACAGACGTATAGAGAAATCTCAGATTTTTCTCTAGTTTTACCAGAGAACTCAGTTTCATATTATACATTTCAGAGCCTGCAGGACTTAAAATAAAACAAATAACCACTTTCCAACCCTGCTGTGTCTGCAGTGATGGGGGTGCTGTACCGGTCAGTCTGCGTTCCTACCCTCATCTATGGTCATAAGCTTTAGTTTCCGAAAGAACGAGATCACGGATACAAGCAGCCGAAATGAGTTTCCTTCGCAGGGTGTCTGGGCTCTCCCTTAGGGTGAGAAGCTCAGTCATCCAGGAGGGACTCAGAGTAGAGCCGCTGCTCCTCCATGTCAAGAGGAGCCAGTTGAGGTGGCTCATCTGGTTAGGATGCCTCCCTGGTGAGGTGTTCCGAGCAAGTCCCACTGGGAGAGACCCAGTGGAAGACCCAGGACATGCTGGAGGGACTATGTTTCTCAGCTGGCCTGGGAGCACCTTGGGATTCCCTCAGATGAGCTGATCCAAGTGGCTGGGGAGAGGGAAGTCTGCACTGTAAACCCTAATAAGTTCACAGAACTCAAAATTAATTTTGTAACAATTACACAAAAATATTTTAGCGATATTTTTAAATGTTTTCAGTTTACATAAAATAAAAATTACATGTGCAGTTGCCTTAAATTATCCCAACATTATCTTATAAATATTGATTTTTCTCAACTTATGATTAGGGAGTACTTCACTTAAATTTTTCAATATTTTCAACTCATAAGAGTGCACATGCGTCAAGCACAATATTGTAGCATGATAATTTACAACTACAGACAGTAAGTGCAGCTCATGTTGTAGTTCAAGACTTCACCACCAGGTGGTGGTTTTGAAGAAGCTTTATTGGATTCTTCTTCATGAACAACACAGACGATGTGAAACTCACAGGTCTTATTAATGACTAGGCCTACCACTCTCACTTATGGTTACTTCTGACATGACATAACAAACATGAATCCTACCCACAATCCTCCACTGCAGTCACATGACAAACAGCCAAACACAGCAGAATGCTACAATATGCATTCCCTGTTCCCTGACACCTAAATATCACCTACATTATGCCATCAAACTATTGCACACCAACAAATGTATTCAAGCAAAAGAAACCAGACAACTAATGTTTTATTTCCACCATGTCTTGTCCTCTCCTTGAAAAGTGAAGCAAGGGAATGAGGAGCAGCAGGCTTTGTGTGTGCATGCACCCTCAGTTTGAGCCCAGAAGAGTAGAAGTTACTTAATATATTCATGTTTATGTGCTGTCCAGAAAAAACACTTAAATATTACTGGTAAAATAATATTAGTATTTACTTTTTTTGTACAGTAATATTGATATATAATATAATG